TGCTAGTAGATCCATGAATTATAGGCGACTCTCCCTCAGTTTGGTTCAAATTGAGAAAATGTACTTTAAATGACAGAGAATTGATGTCATAACCAATTAGAAAAACAAAACTTTAAAATGAAGGGACACATTATGACAGATGCAGAAAAGCACCACTGTGGAGCTGAGCAATAACCCTGCACAATGAAGCTGAAAGATGTCTTTCAAGATGGGCCCTCAAAGGAAAGTGAGGATGGACAATCCAGACTATAATTATTGAACAGGAAGAAGCAGGGTGTAATATAATGTGCTGAGGATGAACTTCTGAGTGGAATAATATGATTCACATTAAGATACTTTATTAATAGGGTTTTCACGCATTTAAAGGGGTGATGTTCTTGCTCGCAACTCTGACAATGCCCGTTTCATTTCATGGCAGTCACTACGCATAGTGGCAAGAAGTTCCTGCTTTGGCATACACAGAACTCTCAGTATGGTTTAGATAATCCTAAACATGGTAATGTCTCTACATGTGTCAGATACCCGGCTGACCAAATGAAAAAAATAAGACAGCAACTCTAAATAGTTACAGCTCCTAAAGGCAAAAGGGTTAGTGATTCTGGTCTTGGGTTCATGATAGACTTTGGCACTTAATTTCAAGAAATGTAAAGTTCATTGACATTAGGCACTACAATTGGAAAATTATCAAAATCATTGCAAAAATTTCTTATTAAACATCGAGGAACCCAAGAAAAAGCATTTGGAACACAAACAACCTTGATAGCAGGAGAGAGGACCCAATAAATGGTAGTGATAGACAGTGGGTTTTAAAAGCCCTCATAAGGAAGGGAAGGACTGACTGAGCCAAAGCACTCCACAGCCTTGAGACATTGGAAAAGGAGGAGTTAATTTGAGTAGATTCAGGACTATGATGTTCATAATAATCCTTACATTTGATAGAATGTCTTTCACCCAAGAGGACCATGTGGGTCTAACGTGCTCAGTTTGCTAATTGTAGCAAATGTTTCGTTCTCATGCATTATCTCCCATTTCGGAGGGCCCCGTTATTGGGACCGATAAGAAGGAAAAGTTGAGATGTTAACAGCAGCCTTGATAAAAAGAGATAATGGGGGCTGGGTGTAATAGGTATCAATTTCTAATGGGATTCGTTAATAAAGAAAGCAGAATAGGGACTCCTGCCTGCAGCCAGATGTACGTCTTGTTTATTCGTGGGGACTTCACTCCGAAAGTGGGTTGTGTTGGTGCGATGTTTCTGTGACTTGGCGTGTTTTAGCTCCAGTCGCCTCATTAGGGAGTTCCGCGTATTAAACCCTAATTAAGTTCTATAATGACACGTGGTAATTATAATTCTAGTTCTGCTCACTGTATTTCCATGAAAATGCAGAGATATCGAAATTCAACAATTCAGGAGCTAAAACGGAACGTTTTACAACAGTTCTAGCACCGCAGAGTGGAAGGAATCTAGTACTACAGTAATGTAATGACTCAGACTTTAACCAGTTTGAATGAAAAACGGAAAAGAAAGTGAAAGTTTAAATGGCAAGGGGAAAAGGATTGAAATGGAAATTAAATCTCAAAGTGGGTAAAGTGATCTGGTTGCACAATAAATGTAGAACCATGGAATGAGATCATGGCCTTATGTCTGTGATTCATCATGTGGAATACTCCCCGACAAGCCTCAGAAAGACCGGGAACTCATCAAATGAGTTTCAACAACTTTCCAACAAAAAGTAAAAAAATCAGGATGCGGCGAAATCTCATGGACCTCCTAGTGGTCACCAAAAGTGGTGGAAGTAACCTGCCACCTACTCAGTCAGGATACGAAGGCAAAAAAGTAGTACTAAGGCAAATTGGAAAGAGGGCTTAAAAAACAAAGGAGGGCACTGGCTTTGTGAAAAGTGTTTGGCAGATTGTAATTGTTCCTTTTTGTGTTTCCGGACAGAAAAGAGCCAGAGATCTGCATTCCATTTTGCCACCACATACCTTGCAAGTGACATGGCTTTCTAGTTGCGTTAACTCAGTGGTTCAAGTATCTATAACCCGTTTCTAATAAATCATAAAGCCCAAATTTTCCTGAACCAGGAATCCATACAATTTAGTATTTGTTTTTTTACTCATGAATTTTGCGTTCATCAGTAGACAGGTCAATGTTTGGTGAATGTGACTCTGAAGCATTAAGGATTTCCTGGTCAGTTACCAAAACGTCTTGTACTCTGCCTCTGCAACGTGTCTCATCTCCAAGCTCAGAAGATCACCCTAACCAGCTACGTGATGTAGCGTCACAGATACTGGGTCAGCCTCATAAATCAGCAAAGGACTGAAGTCATGCATCAGTGTGAGTTGGATTCAAACTTGGACAGGCACCATGCTAAGTAATTTTTTAGTACTACCTTGGTCTTCAACCAATGCTTCTTGATCTGTGCTTTATCATTTATCCTATTAGCTGCAGAGAGAAATGAGAAGCATTACTCAAGATCACAACCCTTGCCAGGTTCTAACAACCAAACCAATAAGCTGTTAAAAATGATGTGTAAAGTAGTTGGGGGTTCACTGGATTTATAGTACTTCCCATTTACAAATGTTTTTAGCTCCTTCAGATATGTTTGTGCCAACACAACGATGGTACTATCTGATTGAATACCCAGGCAGGAGGCTTGTTTCACCATTGACTATTAAGAGATGTTAGATAGCAAGCAGCCCAAGTAAGACCATCCAATTTTGCTGGCACTTGTGGGGCTGAGTTTCATCATCGCTACCCATTACCTCCCTCTTTTCTCTCCAAAGCTTGCTGAGAACAGAACTGGCCCAGTCCAGATTTTTTGGTATGATTCAGCTTCCTATGAGTAGGTACACAAGGCATTAATCTGCTGGCCCCATTAGGCCACTTCTTTCATAACCTTTCAACAACAGAAGGAAATCACTGTCCGAATAAGCCACGAACCATCAAGCCCTAGGTCTCTGATATAATGTTAAGGATGGAGACCTCAGTCAATCACTGACAAGATTAGTTTTTTTAATTAAAGCCACAAATGGGAAAAGTGGGCGTTACTGCCAGAGGTAGAACAGCAACTACCTCAAACTACAGCTGCTTATTTGAGAACGGTTATCTATACTGTGTAATACTATACAAGATATTATGTTTTACATTCCCACATTAAACATTGCCGAGGGATTCAGTCCAATTCTTTTCCTACCTTTTTTTGTATGATTATGAAATTAAGAAAAAATCAGTGTAAATTTTAGTTCAGAACCATATCAGTAGTGACCACTCAGGTATATGTAGCTTGAAAGATAGTTTGTGCTCCTCTAGTTACCATGACAGCTCAGTCCAGCAGAATCATTCCATCCTTCTCAAAGTGTTATCTCCCCCTCTTCTTAAAGGACTTTGTTCAGTATTTCAGGTTGTGTGGGAAGAACTCACACCTTATCCATTAAGCACAATTCACAAAAACGCTCTGTGAAGATCCACATTGTAGTTGCATAAAAGTGCAACAAAGCTGAATGTCATTGAGAGACAAGAAATTGAACCAGTGCAATTCGTAACTAACGCCTGGCACACAAGAATGCCGCTGAGATGCCAATTTAAGCCCTGAATGAACAATACTTCTTCTGGTTCTTATTAAGTTCTAAGATTCTCTGGTAAAACCATTTCTAAACTGAGCTCAATGAAGAGTAGACAAGGCTGCTGCACAGCTAATAATCCATCAAAACACAACCAGAACTTCTTTAGCTAGAGATACTCTCTCAGAGATGTCAGTGTCACTCTGAGGAAGCACTATCCGAAACATCACCCAATTAGGCAAAGGTAAATGCTTCAGTTTGCAACATTAAAACCCCTCAAGAACAGGAATAAATAAAACATTAGTTTTATGTATTTCTGGGATAAATTAACACTTGGTCATGAACTAACAATGTATCCCTCACATATAGCTCAGTTAACATGGGACTCAAAACTTTGGGGTTCAAATCTCACTGGTTTCATTCACCTTCTTTACCCCTTTCTTTTAAAATAAGTTGTATGCAACACACACCTACATGGTTTAGGTTGAAGGTAAATAGGAATAAACTCTGTATTGTACTGGCTACATGACAATGCATGTGGCAACTGCCTCGCTGGTCTGAAGTAAACCAAAGCACTATTGAATGGTTCATCAATGGGATCTGTGAGTGCAGAGATATTCTCGATCCTGCGAGCCACCCCCCCAGATGGGTATGACGGTTCTCGCTGGACAAGTACCATTATTACTCTCCTTTACTTTGTGCATTCAATGAATTTACTTAAGTCACTGAAGTGATGTCTTACTGCTATGCAGCCCAGAGCTGCCCATTCTTCTTACAGGTCTCGTTTAAACTGGCCAAAGTCATCAAGACAACTCTACATAAACTGCAGTCAAGTGACAATCTCCCAAGGTGTTATGCCATTGGTTTTACAACAGTGACACCAACTGCATTGCAGTGCCCCTTCACAGAGAATCTGGCATGCCCACACATCTTATGGTGCTCAGCCACGTGCAACGTACAGGGAAGCCCAGCAAGCTGTGCAGATCTGCTGATTACTTCCTTGTGTAAATGTGCAGGTGTCAGCACGTGGGTGAATGGGGATCGTCATTGTTTAAGTTCAGAGTCTGACTTTCCTGTCCTTTAATCCCATTGAATATGAATCATTCTGTGATGGTAACAAAATAATGTTTACTCAATTTTCTACAAATTAAAACAAATTCTATCTAGCATCTCCTTTCCCTCGCTCTCTATTCCTCACTCCCTCCCCACCACATACCAAATGAGATGAGGTTCCTTTTCCCCCCTTTTAAAATGAATATAATCTTTCTTTTAAAATAGCATGAGTCTCCATGTCTAGATTCCTAACTGTATGCAGACATTTAAATTACCTTCTCTGATCACACATCCTTTCTCTGGCTTGCCAGGGAAAGAAACAAATGGCAGTTGTGTTCTGGTCTCTTGCTACTAAGGTTTCTACCAGCAAAAAGAGAGTAAGTTACCTTCACTTCAGTCTTGAACTGTCCTTAAGTAATGTGGGATGCACCTCGCCCCGGCATTAGCTGCCCAGCACTGGAGAGGAAACGGAACATCCCAAATCCGACCGCCTTCCCACTGTGCCAAAGGGATAGTCAAGCACTTTACACATTACTGAACCGCACCTTTAATAAATAGATGCAGTTATTAATGCCAAAGCTTCATCCCACCCCCCCACCCCCCACGCACACACCACCTCCAGTTCTGGTAAGTCAATGGGGAGTTCCACCCTTAATTATCAGGCTGATCTTAAAATAATTTACTTTATGGCTATTTCTTTATGACACTTCCTCCTCAATGCTTTATTCCACAGGTAGAGATTAGGCTGCCTGCAATTCTGCTTTCGCTTTGACCTCTGCTCCTGTACTTCTCTCAGCAATCCCATCATTTGCCATCAGACACACACACACAAAATCAAATCGCAACAGAATCTAGTAAAATGAACCAGCTCATTCAGCCTTTCAACGAGAGGTACCAAATTCAGGCTTTAGGAACACATATAAAGTAGGTTCATTTTTTTTTGGAAAAAAAGGGAAACAAAAGTGCTCAGCAATTCTGTGCAAGTTGCTTCAATTCTGCTTTGATACAGTCATTGTTTCATAAAGATCATGTTCTTTATGAATGACGATGTGATGGGAGCACAGCTCCAAACTGAGAAGCCCTCCCTACATCAGGCAGACAGAGAGAGAGGGAGAGAGGAGAGGAGAGGGAGAGAGAGGAGAGGGAGAGGGAGAGAGAGGGAGGGACAAGCAGGTTAACTGCACTACACACTGACTGACTTTTGCCACTGCAGTAGCAAAAAAAAACCTCTTGGGTTCAGTTGTAAACACATTCCCTTTGCAAGTGAAATGCTTCACGCCGGGCGGCCGGGCCACTCGCCCCCAGTTGGCACCAGCAAAACCGTTCACTTAAGTTATCAAACGCGAGGATTGTTATTATCAATTAGTATTACTATTATTATTATTATTATTATTATTATTAAGTAACAAAATAAAAGTTTATGGGTGACATGCATCACTGACCCGGTGTGTTGCCTGTCACTCACTGCCTCTCTCAGTCACTCACCAGTGAGAGGTACCTCTCTCGCTCTCTCTCGCTCTCTCTCAGCAGAACTCCCCCCCCTCTCCCCACACTTGTGGCTGCTGACATTCCTCTTCGTTTCTTCGTGACCTTCTTTTTTTTCTCCCCTTCTCTCGTCTTTTTTTTCTCTCTCTCTTCTTTCTTCTTCTTTCTTTTTTTTTAAAAAAAATAAAAAAAAATTTTTTTTTGGTTTTTTTAAAAAAATAAAAAATAAAAAGTTTGAAACCAGTCTCTCTCTCCACGGCCGACTTGCCCAAGAAAAAAAATCCTTTTTTTTTTGCTGGTGGTGGTGGTATTGGTTTTTATATATCTATATGAATCTATATATATATATATATATATATATGTATAGATTTTTTTAAAAAAATGATATTTCAATCCTGTTTCGAGAGAAAAAAAAATGTAGAATAGATCATTTTTTTTCACCAAAAAAAAACCCCCCGAACACGTATTTACTGCGGCAGCACAACACCGTGAAGCGATGCGACTGAAGAGTTAAGAGCCGTGAGAGGCTGAGCCGCTGCTGCTCTGTGTGTGTCTGTGTGTGTCTGTGGCTCAGTGCTACACTGTAACCGCACACACACTCTCTTACACTCGGGCTCACAATAGCCGACGCGGCTCCTTCTTATAAGACACGAGCCGCCGCCAGCGACCAATCGCGCAGCCCTTCTCCCTCAGTGTCCAACACCACATGACACAAAGCCCTGTGTCAGGGGTTGGGGTGAGCAAAAGGGCACTCATTCAAAAAAACACAGTCCAAGGCACTCGCTCACTCTCTCTCTCACTCGCATCACTCACTCTCACTCGCTCGGTGCAGAGGGGAGAAAACGCCCAGGCACTGCCCTGCAGCACAGTCTGCACCGTGCAGAAACCTCCCTGCCCTCACACACTCACTCACACACACTCACTCACACACAGGAATGGCCTTCATCCAAATAAGGGAACAGTCTGGCAACTCTCTGATCGATTCCCCCCCCACACTGGGAGGACATCCTGAAGTGGGCCTACGACTCCCAACGCATCCATTATCCCATTTTCCTCTTTCTATGTTATTTCCACCTCACACACACGAGACGACCTGTCAGAATTACTAAAGCTTATTGTGCTACTGCAGTGGAGTGGTTTTGCTGAATTCTGTACACACAAGCACACAGTGGGATTGTAATCATTTATCCAATGAGCCACTCTGTGGGTGAATGAAAGGGCTTACTCATAATGTGGGAGAAGCTGCAGCCCACTCTGTCCTGTCGAGGCCATCCATAAAATGTGCACATCCATTTTAGATAGACTTTGCAAACTCGACTTAAAAAGTTATCTTTCAATCTGAAAAGCTGTAAACTCCCAACTCCGGTTAAACTTTCCAGTTGAACCGCTTTGTCAGGTTGTAAGAAACGTGCTGCGACACATGGCACTTGTGTAGGAAACCATCCAATTACTTATATTAAAATGAAAAGAAATCTTCCTCCCAGGTTTACTCTTCCCACCCCACACACACACTAAAGGTGAAAGTGAAATGACTCAATGGATTTGAATTTTTATTTGAAAACTCTAATATAATCTCAATTCATTCTGCCCCCTGCTCTCTGCAACTCCATCCCAATGTTCCCTCTGCTCACCCCATTTTTAAAGCCCACTTCAAAACTTACATCTTCTATCACACTTTCGGTCATCTTTCTCACCTTTCTCACCCTCCTAAGCCCCCATCCCTCAGTTTGAAGTTCAGCCAGCTGCGTGAAGCACTTTGAGATGTCCTTTCGATGGGAAATGTGCCACCTAAATATAAATTGGTACAACCTGTGCAATCAAACACCATACCACACCAAAGCTGAGGCATGATCAATAAAATAACTATAATTTGAAATCCAATTGAGGCAAGAGCAACTGAGATCCTGTACTATTTCAGCTAAATTATAATTCCACATGGGTCAAAAATAGATACAATTCTCTTTCATCTGCAATAGGCATTTGTGATGAGCAGTCAAACCATCGTGTGAGAAAATATTTTATGGGAATTAAGCACAAAAGTACATTAACAATAATAGACACTGCCTTAAATTGATTGTCGAGAAGCCTGAGTGCAGATGGGTTTATAAACTCTGTTGGTGAATGTTACATATATATATATTATGTATAATATAATGCGACAAATCTAATGCTTTCTCTTCAGACAAAACTAGCAAAGAAATGTACATTTATGGAGTCAGTACATACCAAACCAAATGCAGATCCAGATATGGATACTAGTTAATCTCTGCATCCAACACACAGCATAGCACTGTTACTGCAGTCAGACACAGAGAGTTAAAAGGTTTTACAACGATGACTGAAGCGTAAACAAGAGAGGGCTGTTCTGGGGGAGGGAGGGAGGGAGTGGGCTGTGGCTGAATCATGTATGATGTGTCACTGTTACTGTGAGGTTCCTCAGGCAGATGGGAGTGGATTTCACGCAATACACTTTGTTTTGCTGTAGATCAAATTGAGTAAAGATGTCAATCTAGCACAAATCAGTCTAAGTTACTCCATACAGGGATGTGCAGTATGTTACAGTACTACAGAGTTTTGGGTAGCTCGACTGGCAGTAAGGAACGAATAATGAGCTGCACAGTTGCAATTTAAAGGTATGCTGTTTTCATGAAAAAAGTGTTTGGCAAACTCCCTCTTCTAGATAAGAGGGTGAAAGAGAAAAGAGCCCTGAGTCAGCACAGCTATCTCACATGCAGCTGATCTGATGATGCATCAGTGACATTGTGATCATTTCACATGTTTGTTGACAAACAAACAGAAGGTCTGCCAAAATAGCTTGTTTTTTAAAAAAAATGAAAAAAAGCATTTCCTTTCATCAATATAAAATTATCAATAGACTGAGATCATTAGGTTTTTCAGGCTTGCATGAAACAGGCAAACATAAAAACAAATAAATGCAAAGTGCTCATAATTTTGTAAATTTGGGATAAAACTCCCCCTTCTGTGGTTATGGGTTCATATCAAGATTTAAAAAACACAGGCAGGCACTCTTCTTTATATTAGCTACAATTCTGCTCTTTGCATGAATGGTTCCAGAACACAGAGGCTAAAAATAAGAGACTGGTCTCTGTAGGGTTGAGTTTATTGCTGGAGTCAGTAGGCAGGCTCCAGTCACCTAACTTTTTCAGCTTGTTGCCAAAGTTGAAAATTCAAGAAGTAACCTTGACCTTAAACTGGGGGTATGCTGCATTATTGGAAGTCCTTCAAATGAGACATTAAACTGAAATCATGTTTGCTTGTTCAGGTGGACATTAAAAAGAAATGTACTATTCAAAAAGAGTAATATTAGTACCACAGCACTATTCAATAAGAGAAGGGAGTTTCTCCTGGCGTCCTGGCCAATAATCCCCGAAATAAAATTGGTGATTCACTCCATAACTGTTTGCAAGACATTGCTGTGCACAAATTGGCTGTAGCGTTCACCCAATAAAACACAGTCACTCCGTATTTACAATATATCCTGTGAAGCTCTTTGGGATGTCCTCCTACATGAAAGGTGCTGTACCAAATGTAAGGATTTCTTTTAAACTACCACGTCCCATCAATGTCAACAGGCAAGATTGGATGTTTGGGATATATACACTCCCGAGCTGCGAAGTTTTCACACATTACATATGGATGTTCTGTCTGAGAAGACCTACTGAAAGATTGTGAAGGTGCTAAAGCAACTTCCAGAATATAGTGAGAAGAGCAAGCTCTGAGTGTTACATGACTTGTGATCTTTCATAACTCTATTGCTTATAGTACTCTGGTTCATAGACACCACCACTGCTCCACACTCAGCGGATGATAGAGGATCATATGACCACTAATGGGTCACATGAGACAAAAAAACAGAGTGCAAACAACAGTTTCAGATCTTAAACATGATTTAAGTTCTGCGATTTTCTACCCTCTAATTCATGCTGGAGGAAATATTACAAATAAATAAAGATATAGCGTATATGTAATATACAGTGACTGTGTATTTATAGGCAAACACGGCTGTCAGTTTGCGCACCCCTGCCTCAGCTGGCAATGCCACAGACTAGTGTAAAAATGTAGCCATACAGGCCATGGGACTGAGCTCTGCAAATCCAAAGGTACTAGGTTTGATCCCTCCCTAGTCTGTGCTGTTTGCTGATCTCAGCTGGAGCAGCAGCAAAGTATACTGAAATTTGTCTTAGGATCTCAGGGGGTAGAGCTAGTGTGAGGAGAAAAAACTGTCAGTCAATCACTCAGTCAGTCAGTCTGGGTTCCCACTATTGACTGCTATCCTCTCACTTGTGGGAAGAGAAGGTGCGGGGGCCATTTGGTGAGGATAGGATCTGACTAGGCTAATATGCTCCAGTGGTTGAAAGCTCTGCTAAAGTCTGCTCAACTTTCTCAAATTCCACATGAAGAACAATCTCTTGGACTCCAGAACGAAGACAGCATTCAATACCCAAACCCCTAAACCCCTTTGCTCCCGTCCGCTGTGACGTGAGCGGATTTGGGCGTCTTTTTCCCTCAAAATAATTTTTGATTCAATTCTAATCCTATATATCTAATAAGGAAGGATGGAGAATTTAAAATAAAATGTATTGATGCCACTTAAGAATATTTTATCATTCTCTTAAGAGCATCCACAAATTAAGCTGCTATGTATGTGTGTGGGACTGAAACAGGAGGCGTTTCCTCTTTGCCATTCATAATGCATCTGCGGGTACACATCTGCAGATTTTGTGTCAGCCAAACCTCAAATATGCTCCTACTTCAAGCAGTGGATGCCTTTAGGCTCGTTGGACTGCAGTGGTCTCCAGAAAACCAGACCCAGCTTCTTTAATATAATGCAGAAATAAATGCTGACCGCACAGGGTCATGTGCCACCGACTAAGACATCGCTGTGGCAGCACCTCTGCCTCCCGTTCAGTTTGTTACCTGAGACCCAAGAAGAACAGGCTTGCTTGTTGCTCTTATTTTTCTGTGTCTTATTGAATCAGCAGCAATAGCTGCAAGAAAGACCACCCTTCCCTCTTCCCTTCCCATAGTCACGATCGGGAAGCCACGTAGTCTCGACAATTTTGGTGTGTTGGCATCAGAACTGCATTCCGTTCAGCATGGGCTTCTGTCTATTTTGTCAACACAAAAGAGGAAAATATATAGTTCAAGTCCCACATCAGGATTAAGCTCAGTCTGTAAGATGGCACTCCAGTGCAGTATTGTGGGAAGCACTGCATTGTTGGAGATGCCAACCTTTGAATGAAATGTTAAACCAAACTCCCATTTGTCTGATCTTCAGTTGGATGTCAAAAGATCCCATGATACTATTTTTAAAAAATGAATTTTTCCCTATGTCCTAGGCAATGTTCTTCCATTATTGATCGTTCACCTCAAGGCCATTTGCTAGTATTGCCTACATACAATAAACATCATTGTTTTATTCTATGTCTCATAGTAAAACAGATAGAATCTTAAAAATAAACTTTCTTTTGAATGACTCTAATGGTATCTGCTATCTATTTACCCCAGATTTCAAAGTGTAGAACCTTTGCCAATCTGTCCTTACACCCATACCATCATAATCTAAATAATCCTTGCACTTGATATACTACATTTTCATGGCTGCCCAAATCTCAAAGGCAGTTGTGACTATAATTGGAGGAGAACACGGGAGCTAATTTAGCCCCAGCAATGCCCCATAAACATGAAAAGAGTTACCATTTTTTTTAAATCTGGAGATCGTTGGCCTGGAAATCAGGAGAAACTCCCTTTAACATCTATCTGTTCAGGCATCAGGACCTCCAGGTTAATGTCTCAGCTGAAGGACGGCACCTCAGGCAAAGCAACTTCTCCAGCACCACACTGGAGCCTAGAATATGAGCTCAAAGTGCCAATATGGGGCTGGAACCCAAAATCTTCAGACACACATGATTGTGCTAGCAATTGAGCCAGGCTGACACCTAAGGATTATTATTATAATACATCTTGGTACACATAACTTTGTTTTGTGTTTTGATTAACCTCATTGTTCACGTGGGCCATGCTTTCCGTCACGCTTCAGACAGAAACATAATTTGACACTAAAAATATCCTTGAACTGCTAAGATTGCCACATTCTAGTGAAGCACGGCTGTTTTAATGACTCCTAACAGTGACAACAATTATGACATAGAACATTTACATTGTAAAAATAGTCCATTTTGTAACTGATAATCTTTATACTTAGCTTACAACCCTCTACTATTACCTCCGGTATCTCAGCTTGGTTGCCATGAAGTAGGAAAGAACCACATTCTATCGGACCTTTTAAAAGGAGACTGAAATAAAACAAGTTTGGTTTGTCACACATGACGTTTGACTGTAGGAATACAGACAGACAGTATCTGCAACCTACGTCAGTGGACAGGCGGTAATGGAAAAGCTGACTGACAGCACAGTCAGACATTACACAAGACTGTTGGATGTTTCGAGCTTTTCTACATTACTGACATTCTCTTGTGTTTTAGATGGCAAAGTACAACATCGCTTACTTTGGATGAGTGGGGGCTTTCTAAAAGACACCCTAATGTCAGATGACTAGTTTATTCAAACCATTTTCAAACTGAATTTTTTTTGCAAGGGAGATACTTTAATTTTTATAGTAAGATGATAGCATACGCTTGAAAGTGAAGCAAGAAAGATTTTTCCGAAAGAGTACTGAAAGGTAAACACTGCGCACTGTGTTCGGACTGAACGTACATTGCTTCCTTACAGAGGCTTTTAGTTTTTTTAAAAAAAGACTTTGGAATGAGGATGTTAATCTATACATTTTTTTGCACTATATTATTTTGTTATGGTGGATCATATATTGGAAATCATGTGTCCAGTGATATGCACGACTCCAGTACACTACTGGGGGGAGTGCTGTGTTGTCGGTGCAGTCTTTTGCAGGAGATGTTAAACTAAAATATCCCACCTGCCTGTTTAGGTGATGATTCCGTGATACTACATCATTTGGGGAGAGAAGCAAATCTTTTTCCCCAGGGTATTAGAAAGATCAACAACTTGCATTTATACAAAATCTGCCCCTTATGGACGTAGCATCTTGAAGCTATAGAAATGTAACCATGGAAAATTTAGAGCATGGAAGAAAGCCTTTCGACCCATCGTATCTGTGCTACAAATGCTTTCAGTTCCATTTACCTACCCTTTCCCCCATAGTCCACTCCCTTTTATGCATGTACTCTATCTAGTTCCCTAGATTGTCACCTCCCGCCCGGATTATTCAAACACACTCCTCACCAGTCTCCCCAGCTCCACTATTCAAAAAATCTAACTCATTCAGAACTCTGCCTCCCGAATACTTTCCCGGACCAAACTCCGTACCCCCATATCATCAATTCTGGTCAGGTTCCACTGGCTCCCCATCACCGAACGGATCGACTTCAAGATCCTCACACTTGTGTTCAAATCCATTCACTCCCTGGCACCTCCCTACCTCTCCGACCTTCTCACTTCCCAATCTACCACCCGGCGCCTCCGCTCGACTGGCATCAGCCTCCTGCTTTCCCTCACACCCTCCGCTCCACCATTGGAGGTCGTGATTTCAGCCACTACGCCCCAAAACTGTGAAACACTCTCCTTCAATCCCTCTGCCTTGCCCCCTCTCTCCCCTCTTTCAAGTCCCACCTGAAAATCTTCCTTTTCGACTGTGCTTACAGTCACCTCCCTCCCCCACCATTACCACCCCCCACCTGCTTGGAGTCAGACTCTGCCACTTTTAAGCACTCTGAGACGCTGCCCTGCGTGGAGGGCACTATATAAGTGCAAGTTGTTGTTGTAGATTGGCCAATAACCTTCCGGATTTCCGATGTCTGGTTGTAGGATCACTGGCTGGCATATTAGAAAAAGTCATGACATTTGATTGTAATTGAAGTGCTTGAAGGTGTTTCGACATGATGAGGTGCTATAAAAGTCCTTTTCTTTCTTTCAAAATAAAACAGTTTCTCCATTTACCTTAAATCGTGCATGATAGACCACAGTTCCCGTTATACCCTATTTCATATCCTCTGCCTGGAATGTTTTTTGTGAATACATTTTTTGCCAAAAGATCAACTTAAGTGAAACATGTTAAACAGGAAACAATCCCCACGGAATGCCACACTGCAAGATAATATTCACTTCTCACTGATGGACAAAGCAGGGTACTCACACCTGAGTCTGTCGGTACCAGCACTGGTCAGTACTGGTCTATAGACACAGACTTTCCTGCCCTTGTTCAGGTTTTTTTTAATACACCCCTCCTCTTCCTCCAATTTTCTCCCCTCCTTTCCTGTAGACAATGACTCATTCTGAGTACTGTTCCACAGGTGCCACCCACTCTGTTGTACCTCGCCCACAAGGGCGTCTGCATGTGTGAACCCTTGACAGGGAGTGGCAGCAAGCTATTCAGCAGTGGGGCCGGGACCAACCCTGACCTCATGTGACATATGCCCCCCTCACACCCAGACATTCCCTTATTCAAGCATGCATCCACATTCCAGCAGGCTGGCTAATGTTTCTGTCCTTAGATCAGGGAATTTGCATTTTTATAGCAAATTATCTTGAAATATCTCTGAAGGATTTAAAAAGTAAATATTGTGCAGGTGTAGTGAATCCTATCGGCAAATGTAGCAGCAATATCCCACAAACAGCTGTAACCTTGAGAACTGTTGGCCAGGATAGCAGACACAATTTCTTTTTCCTTCAAAATAATGGCATGGATTCTTTAACATCCACCTGAACAATCATCAATTTAACATCTCATCTGAAGTGCAGGAACTAATTCAGACCAAGCACAAAAATGTTCAGTCAATTCACTTTACAGTATATTCTGTGAAGTGTTTTGAGACGTCTTGAAGGCATGATAAGGCACCATATTAAATGCAAGGATTATCATTATTATTATAACCAATGCAGACAATTTACCAACTGAATCATCAATAACTGACGATCCAATGTTAAAAGAACGTTAACTTTTGATTCTTTCGATACGTTTTTAACCTTCTTCCATTGTGGCCCCTTGTAGGTCAAATGGTGACTAGACAGCCTCCTCCAGCTGGTAGACCAGAGAAGTCTGGTTTGTGGTGTATTGCAGCATTGCTGTCAACGGGAGTGTGATGTTTTCTTGCGGGAAGTAAGATTCAGATTTGATGAGCTGAGCCGAGACTGAATGTCTCATGTCTACCTCAGAACCCAGGCAAAAAAAACAAACTACATAAGTAATCAGGGAGAAGTTCATAAAATTTAAACAACACCATGAGGTTCCCCAATGGCTCAGCTGGAAAATTCACAGCCTGATGTGCAAAGACAAAGGATTGATCCTTGGCCTTGCTGAGTTTGCTGATCTAAGCCAGAGACAGTTGCTGAGTTGAGCGTAGAGTGCTTCCCTTGAGAAAGAGGAACATTTCAGACATGGTTCCTGTTCCTCATCCTCATCATAGTCACTACACCTGATAGTAGTTACTTGTGAAGAGCTTAGAGATGCACCAACTTTATAGGCACTATATAATAATAATCCTTGCATTTGATATGGCGCTTTTCATGTCGGGAGGACGTCCCAAAGCGCTTCACAGAACACACTGTAAAGTGAATTGACTGTATATTTGTGGGCGAACGCGGCAGCCAATTGCGCACAGCAATGTCCCACAAACAGTCGTAGATTAAAAATTACCAATTTATTATTGTTTTTGGTTTTGAAGGGATTATTATTAGGCGTGTGGAGTAAGGAAACTTGCCCAAAGCGAGTGCTCTAACCACTGAGCTACAGGACTCCACAAATTTAAATCAAATGTAAGCAATATCTAGGTAATATATTGCTGTAAAACACATGTGATTGATGATCATAATAATAATCCTTGCATTTGATATAGCACTGGATAACATCACTGAGATGACTCAGTGCGCTTCATAGGGTTTACTGTGAAGTGTAGTGACTGTATTTTGTAGGTGAACCTGATATTTTGGATATTAGATTAAGGGAAGAATAGCGACTCACTGTGATGCTCACCCTCCTCCACACTCAAATTGTCAGTACTCACACACACCGTCTTAAACATGAAGAACAGGATGAGACACCAGAGGGTGGCCAGAATCTTCTCATTCTCCAGGA